CGAGCTGCGCACTGGAACGGGCCTACCGCCCCCGTCCACCAGCCGCCAGCAAAGCAACCAGGACGCCGAGGCGGGGACGTGACCAAGCATGGGCGAGGGAACGATCGCATTATTTAGAGGAGGACTTTGGGGGTACCGAGTAGATCTCCCAACAACTGAGGTAATTTAGCAGTTGGCTTGCGAAAATATATATGGAAAAAAACACCCTAAGTGCCTTCTGCCTCCCCCCCTCCCAATTCTTGGCAACTTCCCTTTGGCGCAAAATGACCTTAGTAGTCGGCGCGCCCTAAAACCCTACTCAACAACGTGGCAACTTCCTTCGCTCCTACGACCGAGAGGGGGGACGGGTGGGGCAGCGCCGGCAAAAGCGAGGGCCAAGGTCCGGCAGCGTCAGGCACAGCGGGGCGCAATGTATGAGACAGCGTGTCTGGACAGGTTGACTGCCGGCGGCGCCGGCGTCGTGTCAGTTAGCGACTCCGTCTGCCGCCCTCGTGGTTTGGTGCAAGGAACATCCCTTGTTTGTGAGGGAATGCCCATGTTCGACGGCATGTTTACATTGGGGATTTCCACTCAGCTCCAGGTTGAAATCATAGCTTAATTACAATAGTCTCGAATTGAGTCATAACAGTATGAACTAGCTGGCACTGATCGCCAGTCGTGTGCTGCTGTTGCAGGCGATTCTAACGTTGGAAACCTGTTATCAATCACCACACACCCAAAGAGTAAAACTATTTCATTTGGCGAATTGTTTCATAATGTCTTATATGCCTCTCCTCAACGGTACACGCCAGCTCCGCCCACATCCGTTTCCTCTCACGCCGCGGCGCACGCAGGCGACGGTCCATTCACTCGCTGCTCCAGTGTCTCTCAAATGCACCTTTGTTGTAAAGATTCTGGTTTAAGTGTTAGTGCCAATACGCACAACATTTTCACATTACGAAACTGACGTCACACGCAGCTTGTCTTGGCGGACTTTACGCGTGCAAACTTGTAACTTGCAAACAGTTGTCACACGGTCTTTTCTGTACGTGCTTTTGTCCGCAAACAGAGACAACGCTCGTCGGGTGTCATCTGGTGGCTGGACCAAATACTCCGTTGAGGTCAAAAATACACACATAAGAAGATCACACAACTTCTCCTGAGATAATGTATGCATGCCTAATTAGAGTAGAGCAACATAGGAATGCTTAAGAGCTCGTCATACAAAAAGTTAATCGTGCAAACAGCTGCAAAAGATACAGGCTGTGTGACAAAAATACGCCTGGAAACTTTTGAAGCAAACACATTCTGGGCGGAAAAGTTCATGGGAAAAAGTCTTATGAGTTGCTTGACGGCCGATGCCCTCCAGCGGTAAGAAATCGTAAGGATCCACACGTTGTCATGTAAAGTTTTTGATATTGATGATACGTTTGTACGCGCACATTCATACATATATGCTCCTCAGAGACTGAGTTTGTTTCAGCTAAATGCGGACATCTCGCATCAAGTATCATGCATTGCTCATATATCTAAACATTTTCAAGCTAGCTCACATCATGCATTAAGGCAGTTATCACATTCGCATAATCGGCCATCATGAACCATGCACGTTAAAGTCTGGTCACCGACTTTTTATGAGAATGTGTGCAATAACTTTCCTATTTCAATAGTTCTGTGCTCCGTGTATGACTGAGTTATACAAAGTTATATGATCTGCACGTGGATTTCAGCTTTAGTGCGTTATGTATTAATACTGAATACACCACGAAATATGCATGCATTTGTTTTCCTTTTTCCTGGTTGTTCCACGAGGAATAAAGCTATCAGTACCGTCTTATGCATGTGCAATGTTTCTCAGGCTCTATAATACTCAGCAAATGTTCGTGGCGTAGATAACGTTATACACATATAAATAACAGCCTCGTGGAGAGGGATTATCGATAAACACGTCTTGAACAGCACAGGCTTGAGAAAAGCGATTATCACGGATGTTCGGCGGCGATTTGACTTAGGTGGCGTCTCCCCCCCCCCCCCCCCAGCTTGTTGCTATAGAGATCAGCACCGACTGTGGCAGATAACGCCATACATGAATTATGTGAAGAGCCCAAGCGCTCTTATAAGAGGCTTCTGGCTGCCCTCCTGCTGAATGGTACACAAAAATACAGCATAGTCTTTTCCTAATGGGTCTAGATTTTACGTGAACACGACGAATTAAAAGCATACGACAAATAAAATAAAGGTAACCGTTTGTCGGTGGCAACCGGTCACATATTTTCACTCTTTCACTTCACGGATCACTTTTTAGATGTGATGGTTTCAGCGTCACATGCAGAGAAGTCCTTGCTGAATAATGGCTTCTAGTTGCAAAATAATGTTGGACGTCTGGCTCTAAATACATAATAATGCACCGATACTCTTTCAGAGCGACATACGTCTCTGAAGTGGCAAACACTTCAATCCATGCCTCATCATCCCTTTTTCTTACATTTGAATCATGTCGCATAGGAAGTATCTATAAATGTTTTTCGTCACGTCCATGTCATACAAAGGATCACACACTTCAATATGGATTCACAGTTCTGTACCCTGACCCTCACTCTGCTAAGGGGAAGGGCGATGCACCCTTACCACCCCCTCCCTCCCGAAGTTTCTGAGGATATCTCTGGAACGTGCAATCGCGCTGAATGTTTCGTTATCCTATAGCCATTTATTGTGTGTTTTGACACCAGAAACTTGTCTCTTTCAGTCTGATTTCTGAAAAGCGAAGTTATTGTCGGAATACTCCATGGCCGGCGCGGGCGGCGGGCGGCAGCCGACGAATCCGCCGTTGGCGCACAGCGGCCGACACTGTTGCATCAGCAGAGCCATGCATAAAAACGTGTATTCAAAACACTTCCCATATACGTTTTTACCTATCCGTATATATATATATATATATATATATATATATATGTGTGTGTGTGTGTGTGTGTGTGTGTGTGTATGTGTGTGTGTGTGTGTGTGTGTGTGTGTGTGTGTGTGTGTGTGTGTGTGTGTGTGTGTGTGTGTGTGTGTGTGTATGTGTGTGTGTGTGTGTGTGTGTGCGTTTGTATGTGTGCATGTGCGTGTGATGGCATTAAGAATCAAACAGGAAAAACCTTTGTATAAGTGGCACGCCGTTAAGATGCATCGTTACGTAACCATGCGTATGCATTGCTGAAGAACGTCGCTCTTGGAAAAAATTCACATTTGATCTGTCCTAGTGGATTAAATTATGGACCAACAGTCAACAGTTTCACCGAGTGTGTAAATTTAGACACCAGCAACATAGCCCAATCGTCTGACATGGTCACATTACCTGAATACCCATGGTCAAACAGGGCTTTGCCCATAACGTTGGCCCGAGATGATGACGCACCAATTAAGTGCATATTGTAGAACATGTATAGCTTGTCCCAAATTATTAATTTGCTGTTCTCAACGGTGTAAATGGACTGTGCTAGAATTCACTGCCGAAAATAGCGGATTTCTGGAGGTCATCCGAATCAATCACGCCTTGAGAACCCGGCAGCGCAGTCTTATCGTTTGCGACCTTCGTCACTCTAGCAAATACAAACAATGCCAAAGGCGAATCGCGAAAAGGCATCTTCCATAAAAACGCTCATACTAGTATTCATCCCTACGTGAGTGCTACTTGGTAATATCATTGCGAGCGCTCACCATGCCGGGCTAAGGCGCTCTGTATCGGTATGCTCAGGGATGAGTGGTTGAAAACCCAGATCCTATCTTGCCGGTAGCCAGCGCCAGAACACGTTAGGATAATGTGGATGTAGATCATCTCTTAGTTCATGTAGATGAATGAAAAAAACATCGCTCCTGGATAAGTTTAGAACATCCCATGCATCTCATATTAGTTTACGCGCATCCTCAACACAGGGGGGGGGGGGGGGGGGGGAGGCTATAGACATAGCGGAGCGCACGCTCCGTCCCTGTCAGCTTCACGGTGATAGCTTTGTCCGCAGTCAACACACGCGCAAGCGCATGACGGATACTGGTGGTCAGGTGGGCTGAATTCATGTTAAACGAATTTCCGAACGCTGCGTTTTGAACGGCTATGAGTTCGGTGTTGAAAAAATCATTTTCAAACCCATAAAGTGCGAACACCGACAATATGGACGAATTTGAGCTTTGCTTTCGACCATAGCGAACATTACTTCGGCTTCCACCTTCACGACATGAACTGAAGCGCAGCCGAAATTGCAGCCCGACTCAGGTGGTGTTTGCTGCGCAGCGGGCCCGTGAGTAAGGTCAGCACTTTGTAGATATATGAATGAAGCGTCTGTCGCAGCTTTCTATACTAAACTGATTGACAATTCTTGATAGTCACAGGATCTCTTAACAGCAGTTCAGTCTTCTTCTTGAAGAAGGGCGGCATCAGCGGTGTTGCGATGCGACGGCGATGCTTGTTGCACTACAAATTACCATAAGCAGCTTCCTCTTGGGTTTACTCCAGAATTGACATGTAAAAATAAAACAAAGAACTGACAGACCCTCGGAATTCGCTCCACCTTGAACACAACGACAAAACGAGTACCGTCATGAAATCTTTTGCATCACTACAGCGTGGCACCACAATCCACGAGGTAATCACGTTCCTGAGCCTAGGGGACAACAGGGATTTGATGAATATTTCGATACGTGTTTTTACAGAATTGAAGGTAAAAACTTTGTTTTACGACGGCACTACGACGGTTCTATGGAAATGGGGAAGCAAATAACGTTCTAGCAAAACTGGACAGACCTCAAGTATTAACACCCACGAAGAAGTACGAGATTCGACCCTGACGCGACGCAAACGTTGACAAGTTACGACACCGGAGGAGCCACCGCGATCCCGAGAACACATAAAGACTCACCATCCCCAACATGGGAGATGGCTCCGTTTGTCGCGTCTCGAGTATTGCACTTCCTATTGTATCCCTCCCCCCCCCCGCCCCCCCTCTCAGTCTGCGCATGCACATTACACACCGATACGCCCAACTCCACAGACACCAGGCACTACTTGGTCTTCTTCGCCTCGATCTTCCTGAACCTGGGCAGCTCGTCCTTGCATTTCTTGTGCACGTTGTTCAGATCAAACGCAGCGACGACGTTATCCTGAAACGGTGGCAGACGGATACAGATTGCAAACTGAATCTGCGCTGTGCACCCTCACACATTGAGCAAGAAGTCAAAGGAGATCTCTTGGAATATCATTTTCTGTTACTAACAGTAAGCCAACATCCAACCCAATGTAATGATCATGCACCTAGTCACCAAGACGAAAGTGATAAGCTTCATGCATGCAAACCTCCCTTTAATACAAACAAACACAAGCTGTGATCCATCACAGTGATAAGCCTGTAAAAGAAAAAGACAACAGCTTTCTACCCTGACCCAGGTCGGATACAGCCTATTCACCTGAGCACTTGTGAGGTCGGAAATCTGTTACAAAACACACGACCAGGGGCCTAAACAGATTGGGGAACGCCACGCGGGCCACATTGAAGTCACACATCACATGCTCAAAACCTTCAAGGTGAAAGTACAAAGTCTCACCTCAAACATAACGGAAGGCCGGGCACATAACCCTCTCATTAGACTGAAGGCAGACTTAATTACACCTCTCTGACCTGTCCCAAAATGGTAAGACATCCCTCCAAGTCTCGCCCCGGCCAGACGTCGCACCACCACCACCTCCCCCCGTTCCCCCCCCCCCCCCCCCCAACGCCGCCGCCACGGACCTCGCTGAAGGTGAAGGGCACCAGGCGGCCGCGCTCGTCGAAGCCAGGCCGCCGGCTGACCTCCTCGCCGCCATCGAACAGCACCACAGTCGGCAGCTGCCGGCTGAAGCTGGACGTGCTGATGCGGTACTTCTGGGCGGCGTCCGGGTGGCGCGTCACGTCCACCTTGCCGAACACCAGGTTGTCCAGCGCGTACCTGCGGCCGCGCCGGCCGCGTCAGACGGAGCCGCGCCGGCGCCGGCCGCGTCAGACGGAGCCGCACCGGCGCCGGCCGCGTCAGACGGAGCCGCACCGGCGCCGGCCGCGTCAGACGGAGCCGCACCGACGCCGGCCGCATCAAACAGAGCCGCACCGGCGCCGGCCGCGTCAGACGGAGCCGCACCGGCGCCGGCCGCGTCAGACGGAGCTGCACCGGCAGACGGAGCCGCACCGGCGCCGGCCGCGTCAGACGGAGCCGCGCCGGCGCCGGACGGCATTCACGGACCACCGGCTCCGTGATGGACACACTCGGGAAAGGACACAGAAGCTTACACAAAACCCGAACTAGTGCTGGCGGACCACGCGTTCAGGCCTCACCAGACGTGGCTTCACTCTGCGCCCGTCCATCTGCGCTAGCCTCCAAAAGATGTAAATGCTGCGACGCTGATGATGACAGCATTTTGCACAAGCAGCAACCATGTAACAAATGACATTCTGTACGCGCCTAATGCGTTTAATTCTCAAGGCCCTATAACAAGCCAAGCTGATTCCTTCGTATGTTAAGCCAGCCTGCAAATGTTTGACAATTATTTTCGATGACAACGTCCAGAGTGGGATAAAGAACAACGGACTTCAATATGCGGCAAGTTTTGAAAGTACGGAGTGGCCCAGATTAAAATCAACGCATATTTTACCCCAGCAGTGGCCAGCGCATTCATCGCATATTTGCGGCTGTGGTGGTTATACAACGCGGTCAGCGACAGCGGTAACCATCAGTGCCCCTTGCTTAGATTTACTCAGATACTTTTCAATGGGTTACACCCCATTCTGAGCTCTTTAAAAAGGCATCTCACATTACTTCAAATGTAGGAAGTGAATCCTCCACAGGAAATTGGAATCAACGAAATATTGGTCTTATTTTTTAACATTGAGGACGCAAGTGGCCGAAATCGGGGGAGAAATCATGTCTATAGGGAGGGTTAGGTGAGCCTCTTCCGGCTGACCTCGCCCAGAATCCAATCTAGAAAGTGACACCCCTTCCCTAACCTCACTTTAAACAAGTACACGTTTCCTTCGGCGCGAATCGCTTGAAGCTCTCCGTTCGTTACATGCCTAGCGTCATACATGTAAGTGATGTTTTCGGGTCCTACCGATAGGTGGCGCCACATAAAATTCACTTGTGTGCGCTCGCTACATGAGAATGACTTTCACTCAAACAAAACAGGCAGTAGCTAATTTGCGTGACAGTCTCCGTATGTGGGATCAAACAACCAACCAAAAGATGTGCTCCAAATCGACTCCTTTTGACTTCAACATATGAGTGAATTACAAAAGTACTAAAATACCCTTGAATTGTTCTAAGCATGCAGAAAAGCTGGAAATTGCAACAGGCTTCTTCTATCAAAACAAAATTCATGAGATAAAATCATGCAGAATGGTAGTTCGGATAAGTCCAGATTCCCAGATCAGACAACAGCATCTGTCCTTCTTTCTTCATCCAAAATTTATTTCATCCAGAGTCCCCCCCCCCCCCCCCCAGGGGGCAAGTTGCATACATCAGCCATGGGCGTTCCTAGTGCTCCTACACCACACCCTGGAGGAAGCCCTCTCCCCCCCCCCCCGAACGCCTCCATAAAGCCCATAGGTTTTCTGTGTGCGGCAACTCTCAGCATGAAGGGGGGGGGGGGGGGGGAGGCTGCCGCATGGTCACGGTCTCACCGCACCATTCACTTATCTCCTTCATTCCATAATACTGATCTCCTTCATTCCATAACGCTGAAAGTTATTGCTGGGCGAAAGGGCTCCAAGTGCAACCAAGCCACACAAAAGACAACAAAAAACATTGTGGTGCAAAGCCTCAGTGATGGTACGCTTTGCCAGTGGCGTAGCCCAGCTTTGGCCCACGGAGAAGCGACCACACACGTGGCGCCACCATCGCAGAAGAGTTTACCAGGTCCCCGCCATCCCAAAACGCCGATCAGTCGAGACACCTCCGTGGGTTCATGGGGAAGTGGCTGCCACTCCGCTGCTCTCTTGTTTTGTATCAACGCTGTTGGCACGGTAATGTCCACTTACGACACATAAAAGGACGGGCAGTACATCTGTGTCCAGTATACATTAACATGCCCATGCAGCACATCCCTAATATCGCGATGATTACGAATACAGCACGCGGACAATGTAGTTTGGGTGACGATTCGACCGGGAGAATAAGAGGAGCAACTGAAGCTTCGCCACGTGTTGCACATTTAATCGTCAATTCAAAAGTGGCACGGACGACAAAGAGCCCTCGATTTCCCTAATAGAACCGCAGTTCGTTTAAACGCAGCACGGACTGCGGCCTTGTCATCGAACACGGACGCTGGTGCAATACTTCTGTGTGACTCACGGTTTATTACAGCTGCTAGCCAATGGGGTATGACGTGTCGATTGCAACGAAAAGCATGAACACAAAGCTGGTGAGATAAAACTGAAAAATGAACTAAAAAATAGCCAAACTTACGGAACTATGCATCGAGTGCAGTGTCAGGCTTATCGATGCAACCCATCGTACATTAATACATCACCGCACCCGCACCGCTTTTAGGACGACTTTGTTGTAAGCCTCCTGCATGGTTGATTAAACAACAGACTTCACTTTACGAATGAACCTCACGCTGACTCTCATGGCCCAGCTGGAATCTGCCCCGCTGTCATTGCTTTGTTGTAGAGGCTTAATGGGCATAGCCTTACAATTTTTGCACCACGGAGGATCGGGCTGACGGTACTTTTCATCACATGTTCATGGGCGGTGGATGGAGGTATGAAATCTAGCTGTTTCAGAGTATCAAGCAATCTATACTTTGTAAAGCATACCCCCCCCCCCCCCCAAGGTACTTGTGTGGGCATTCTACGAAGCATCCCGAGGGCGCGAACAGGCGCGCCCTTGGCAGCAGCTGTGGTAACAGCGCATACCAAGATGGGCACATACAGACGTCTGTCTCGATAGAAATGACAGTAGTGTCTAGATGGCAGTGACAACATAAAAAAGTGACCGGCCATGACTGGGACAGTCTTGTGTTTTCCCCAGGCCTCGTCCACCCTCGACCTCCACCCAGACCCAGCGCACAACTCACGTGCCGGACAGCCTGGAGAAGACGTTGGCGAAATTGACGGAAGACGGAAACCAGGTGGCGAAGAAGCAGACGAAGAAGACCATGTTACGCTGCTCGGCCAACGTGTCCTCAAGCTCCTGGTAGGAGAAGTAGGTGACCCGCTCGGGCACGGTCGAGACGGGCTCCGGGAACCACACGTACACCACTGAGGGCACACACGCAGAGAGCGGGGCTACTGGCGGATGCCAACGTAGAGCGGGTGGCAGCGGCGATGCTGTCATGTGGCCGTTCACTGCACACGAGCCCGTGCTGTTGTCACTGATCCCACATGTGCGTGACGCACCGAGAGGCATACAGGCATATACACCTGCATGGCATACCAGTCAGAAGTAGAGACAGCATGGTGAACAAGGACAATGCCAGCTAGCGACTTGTGCAGAACAGCGGGAAAAACTAGTGAATTGACCCTCCCCCCCCCCCCTAAAGAACGGGAGAAACGAGTCTGGTGTCTGTCATTGGGGCTTTACGACGTACTCAGCTGTTGAGACCATATAGCGTCGCCTGCCTCTCACTCTAGCAGGAAGGGCAGGCACCGCGGGAACCCCGTACCTCTGGTTTCCCAGACGCGTAGTGGTAAAATCGTGGCTGATATGGACAGTATTTCCCTAACTATCTAAAACGCTACGTTTCTCGTCAAGGTTCAAGGAGGATTAACTTCCTTGCAAATCCAGCACACACACACTGGCAGGATCTGGTGCTCCAGCAGTCGGTGCAACATTGACCTGATAAATTCACAAACACATCACAAAATCGGAAACTCTGTAAGGGCCAAGCATCGTCCATAATGATGCTCACTGGTCGCCAACACCAGGTAGATGACGCCTTTGACGGGATCTGAGTAGAACCAGAGCACCAAGCTGAGCAGCTTCAGGTAGGTATAAGTGGTGCTCAGGTACGGTAACACGCCGCGAGCTCCCGTCTTCTTGGTCTTTGCCCAAATGACGACAGCGACGAAGAACAGCAGTTTGCTTTCATTCTGAAAATGGCGTCCTTCTTACTGGTCTGCCCTTTATATACTCAAAGATCATGCAATCAGACAAAAGTATAGCTGATCAGACACAGTCGATGTTTACATACTATGTGCATTAGCTATGGAAAGTCACCCCACTACAGTCAACCAGACTGAAACATCAAACAATCCACGTCACTTCCGTTGCCAGCATACTCGATCATTTGTTGGCGACGGCGGTTATAGTGTAAACAATACCAAAACGTTAAAATCCCAAACAATGACCCTTGCGACCATGGAATGTCCTCCACGTAGTATAATGAGAACAGGTATCTTTACAGAAAAAAATGCCATTCCTAAACAGAAATGAGGAAAAGCTTAGCAAACTCAGCTAGCACCCCAAATAAACAAGAATCATCCACCCACAAGCGTCGAAGTGCACTGTAACCCGTCGTTGCCTGGCACTGAGAGCGCTCATCCGTCCCCAGCCGGTGCAGGCGCCCTGCCCCCGCGCCAGCCAGCCGCCGAGCGGAAGGCGAGGCGCCCCCGCTCGCCGAGAGTGGGCCGGCGGTGGGCAGCGGCGCCCCGACTCACATCGGACAGCTCGCACGGCTCCGGGCCCGGGAACACAAACTCGCACACCACTGGTGTGTACTTGAACACCAGGAAAGAGGAGGCCAGCAGCATGTTTAGCACATGGTGCGCCGTTAGCAGTGTCTTGATCTCGGACAGCATGATCTCCGAAGAGCGCACTGGCGCGATCCAGTCGTGACAGAGCAGCTGCTGATGGATAGCGAGAGTCAGATCAGAAGTTGCAGATAATTTGCACACTAAAATAATAACTGAAGTCAAAGCAGCTGTTAGAAGCAAGACACAATATTCATGTGGCTGTCATTGATCGTTCAATGACAATGACATTGCATGGTGTGTTAATATACACCCCCTGCCCCCCCCAAAATGCACACACACACACACACACACACACACACACACACACACACACACACACACACACACACACACACCACACACACACACACACACACACACACACACACACACACACACACATGCATATATATATATATATATATATATATATATATATATACAATTTAAATAGCAGACAGCAAATCTAACAACAGGTTGCTGGGATGTATTTGTACTGCTAAGAGAAAGATGTGGCCAGGGCCTCTGCAAAAGCCCGTGACAAGGAAGGACTGATCTCCAAGACACCTCTGCAGTGCAACATGGTAAGAGCAGTACAATGCCAGCCATGAGAGTTGTCATTTGTCACCATCCAGATAACGCCATAACTAAACTCATGGAAGATTACACTCAGACATCCTTGCTGCCAATACTGACAGGTCAATCAATATGTTGGACAGTGTAACATTCATGGAGCTTTACAGGCAGGGGTCCTCTGAAAAAAACACTTACGTGCCAGTTCAGAAATAGCATTCCGCGGAAAATAGTTGGCAAAGAGTCAAGTTAGGGCCGACAATAGCAACCAAAACATAAATCAACCTACAATCCATTGACACCCTTTCAACTGTGATCAGAACAGTCGAAATAGTTTTTTTGGGTGGGCATTCACCATAACAAACTAGACTACATATCTGTGTAGTTCTCATGGGCCATATCTCAGTTAGAGGCAACAAAAGCAGGCTTTTGAGATCAGTTCCAGAAACAGTGATACCGGCCATTTTCTAAACATTATTTGAACATCCGTGGATCAATTTTGAGATATGTTACAGTGAATAGTAACCAATGCATTCACCTACACCCTGCAGTTGATTTAATCTAATTATAGGCTTTTGGATGCAGGATCTGACATCAAACCCACACATCCTAAAATGATGGATCCATCACTTATAGATGACAGTATGACCATCTGCACATGTCCATTCACACCTTGGTAATTTGATTGCTCATTTTCTCACCTGCCAACTAAGAATTTGTTGATCTTGGGTCACTATTATATTTTGCCATGAAGATTTTGACTTGGTTCTGAGCTGTTTCTCAAGCTAACTTCACACTTGCAAAATTTGCCCTTTTACATACCAATGAAACAGCAGATAGGAAAGTGTTCTACTACTAGGACATGGCAGGAAAGCCCACAATATCAAAGAGCTTGCATACAAATGGTCCTCATCAACATTTGTACCTAATGCTGCAAGAACATGTGTATCCATTGATACTTTCAAGATATGAAATGCCATAAACAATCATAAAACAGAAATATCTCAGGGGTAACTTATCATCCTCCCTTCAAAACATATTATTACAATAACAGCAACAAATATTGGTCTATAATAATGACAGTGTCTGTAATATTAATGGCACAGTACCAATGGACCAGTACCATTTCAGCAAATCAAGGCCAGCATTTCCTTTTCACAGTGGAGTTTTTGTGTACTGCTCGTTGGTGAATTGAAGCGGCCTACTATGAAAACTTAATACAATAGAAATATGGCACAGAAATATGATGTTGCACAACACACCACTGAAACAGAGAGAGTGAGTGATGTCTTAAAGAGGCATTATGTGAGGAATGACAGGCATAATAACAAGAAAAAGTAGCAGTAGGAGTAGGTAGGAGTGAACATCAGAGTGGGAGTGGCAATGGGAGTTGGAGAAGTGGGCATGGAAGGAGTGGGAATAAGAGGAGTGGGAATCGGAGGAGTGCAGGTGAGAGCATGAGCAGGAGTAGGAGTACAAGGGTATGGGTGAGAACAAGTGAAGGGGTAAGTGTAGGGGTAGGGGTAGGGGTAGGGGTAGGGGTAGGTGTAGGGGAGGGGAATGGGTTATGGAGTTGGGATTGGTTTAGATGGGTGGGGCAAGTTAGGAAAAGGAAGGTTCACTAGGTTATATCATTGACTTACCAACACTCAATACTGGCACTGGATAGCTTGAACATCACATCAATATCTCACTAATACATCATATGATCCATTATGTTGAAAAATCAATTATTAGTATGCAAAAGCTAAGCCTTGAAAAGCAGATGCTGGCCTTGATCTGTGTGGATGGCCTTGATGTGTCAATATTGTGCCATCAGTGTTATGGATTTTAGCCTGCTATCCCTGCCATGATTATTAGATTTTGAGGTAAGATGTAAGTGATGGATATGATGTCCCTGTTATGATGTGTTCTGTTGTTCTGTTGTGATTTATCTACAATGAACTCTATAAAGTTAGGTACAAATGGTCACCTTGACCAATGCAAATGCCTTATAATGAAAAAAGCCTATATTTTGGAAATTTTGCATGCTTCTCTGCATTTGCATATCTCTGAAAACTGCCTGAACCCTCATCATTGATAGCAATAATACTGAATTCCAAGAAGATTACTGACTGGGCAAATCAAGTTTAAGTTACCAATATACCACATGTTTCACTCACATGTCTCTATGATTTATAGTTATACATATATGCATACTTCCTAAACATGTGTGTTGATGTTTAAACAGATTTCCCAATGGCATTGCAGTGTCCGCTCTGCAATGTAATATGTAACCTTTTGCAAGAAGATTCCAACAGTGGCTGATTAAACTAATTGGTGTTGCAATAGATAAGGAACATTGCATACAAGGTGTGATGTACTTTATTGTATATACAGCAAGTACAGTATTTGATACATGTTGATAACCAATTTCAGTGTGCAGACAACCAGTGTTTCAAGGAAGCATGCTGTGGCACAGGCAATTTCAGGCCAACGCTCAACAAATTTGATGCATAAGTTAAGCACAACTTGGCCTGGCCTGATTTCAGCTCATGCAGTAGTCAGCTGTCAAAACCACCCATAAACGTGAAATTTCAGGTTCAATTTCGAGAGAACAACTAAGTCAATTCCATAAAACACTTGTTTTTAAACACACTTTACAGCACTTAGAAATTTTAGTGGTTAGCTCCTCCGCACACCTATTTGTTTCGCGAAACAACATCCTCGACCATAAAATACCCAATAATAAGCCGGCCGCAAAGAGCAGCGGCTGGGAAAATAGAAAATCTCCTGCAATGCACCCGTCGACATATGAAGCGTACCAACCCTTAAAAACTAATACCACATTCACCGATATCCCGCCAATCCGCCGGCCACCCGTCCGTTGTCACTACCACCGCAATCACCGCAATCACTTACAGCCGCATTTGAAACAAAAGCTCTGTAATTGTCTCTAAACTGGGGCATACGCAGGAAGAGTACAAAATGAATGCACAGATTCCTGTACAGTAAAAACAAGTTTCAATCTTGTAAAAAAATAGTTTATTTGCCAAAGAACAAATTTAAAATATCAATTTAAGATTTCAATTAAACTGAGTATGCTTTATTGCGTGCTTTTTTAGATTAAGAAAACACTATAATCGTGAAATATCCGTGTTCTATGGCAGCTTATGGCTCATCGGAGAGTGCTGATCTGAAGACAAATTACTAATAAATCATTTAGTTGAGCATAATTTTTAACATAGTGAAAGTAAAATAAAAAACAATCGGGTAAATTATTTCTTAGAACTAGTTAAAATCCCTAAAAAAGTTTTAAATACATGCGACGAACATAGCCAGGCTCGGTTCTGCATTACCTCCTCCCGCCGTAACCGGAATTGGCTCAGCGCGCGGGCTGGAGCGCATTGTTGTCAGAGAGGTGGGGGAGGGAGGTGCGCGCCAGCGGGCGTCCGTGCAAGTTGGCCAATTGACACCTTGCCTTTTAGTTGTGAAAATCTGAATGCGTTGTTGGTTTGGGTCATCGTTTTCTTCAACTTTTATTTTTGCGACTTTAGTATTGGTTAATAGCAATTCTACGAAATAACTGCAGGTGGTCGATTTTTCCATGAAGCTGATTCAACTGAGGATCGAACTCGGAACTCAAGCGCATCTCACCATAAAACTGAAGCCATCTTCAGCGCACCCAGAAGATCTCAGGCAAACCTGCTTAGGCTGTGTTCATACAGCATTTTTCGTGCGTCGAGGTGGCACAGATAACGATCGTCAGCAAGATGACAAGGAAGCAGTACGATTTAGTCAATAACGACGATGACGAATATGATTGCCGTGTCCCCCTCCATCCTGATGAAGCATTTGAAGAAGGGATTACGTTTAAAGCAAAATGCATCGGCACGTTGGATGTGCCAAGACCTACCACCAGGCTTGAGATAGTTTCAGCTATGCGAAGAATACGGTACGAATTCAAAGCAAGAGGAATAAAAAAGAAAAAAGTGGCAATCACTGTGAGCACAGAAGGTGTAGAAATCGTGCACAAGAAAAAGAGAAGGAAGGGCAAGAGACATTCCAAGGATGAGAGCAAAGTTCTAGTCACACATCACCCCATTTACAGAATATTCTACGTGTCGCATGACTCACAAGATATGAAAATCTTCAGCTACATAGCCAGAGATGGCCATACCAACATCTTCAAGTGCACCGTTTTCAAAGCCTCGAAGACGAACCAAGCCATGCGCGTGGTGCGCACGATCGGCCAGGCGTTCGAAGTGTGTCATAAGCTGGAGTATGGCGACGACCACCCGGGCCATCTCCAGTTGCCGCCGTACGACTCCGGCGACCTGATCGACACCACCCTGCAGAGACCGGCGCACTTGGAGCCGCTGTCGCGACCTCTCGGCGACGACGGCCGCGCCCCGGCCTCCGGCATGTTCCGCTCCCCGCTGGCCGACGAACTGGGCTCGGCCACCACGCTGCCGGAGGCGGGCGCTCCTCTCTCCTCCCACCACGAGTGGCAGCTACTGAGAGAGCAGCTCGACCAGCAGCAGCACCAGACTCAGGCTGCTTTGGCTCAGGTGAGTGGCGCGTTAGCGCTTGTAAGCTGGCTGTACTCGGGTACTGTGGGCTTGCTGCAAAGAGTTTGTGTGCTATGCGGGAAATGTATTTGCCAATGGGAAAATGCTCAAATAGCGCTGATTTGAACACCGGTCAATACTTTTGTGATTTAGTGCCATGCATTTGAAAAATACGTATCAGTGGTGAGGTAAAGGAGGTATGGTATTTCCGTTTCCATGTCTGCTATGCCTCTTCCACCCTCGTGTGGAGAATTAGGTAATGTACACGGAGACACGTGCAACACATCTGTTGTCTCATACGCAGTGTCTGAAACTTAGGTGTTTCTCGGTGTTTTTGGCCCCAATAATTTTATTGCTCACAAATGTACACCGGAAAGAACATAACAAATTGTTCCTTGTGAGCGACGTGAAATGACGGCAAGCTGTTCCTGAAACCTCGACGGCATCGCGTGCCACACTCACACAACTAAACGAGGGGTACTGCTCGCGGGTTTCAGCCGAATCACAGCCCATATCACACACAATCTTTCCTTTCAATACACTCAGCGCCCAGGTCTGTTTCTGCTCACCAGCACACGTTTAACCCACCTACCGTCCACCAACGACACCGACACGCTCAGACGCCGGGCCCGAGCCCACTCTAAGAAGAACAGTGTCTCTTGATGGGTCAGGGAGAGGCGGGAGAACAGAGAACACCTCATATACGTCACAATGCAACGTTTCTGGATTGCACGTGGAAATCACTGTAACAAAATACAAATTAATACGAAACGACATGGTGTCACACTAACATCGCCCTAAATATAGTGTGAATTGATCATATATTGATGGAAAATTATTTGGAATCTCTTCAATAGCATCCTTATTAAGTGTGCATTAAAAGCTGTCAGAAATAGAGACTGTATAGGAGGTATAATGGTGACGCCAACCACCATGCCAAACGATCGCTCGGACTTGCGGAAATCCATGGCTCCGCGTGTTCCGGCTCTTGGGGAGGATTCAGCATTGGAGAGAAGGCATATGCTCCACCAAGAAATCCGAGCTGAATAGGTGATAAAACGCGTAACATATACATTAAACCTTTTAACCGATAAACAACTTTCAGCGGCTCTTTCGCTGAAGACTGTTATTCCATGCGCGCCATTTATGTAGCTTCCGGACGTTTTTTGGAGCAGCCGCGTGCAGAGCCATGGTGGGCGGTGATGGTGCGACTGGTTGATAGTATAGATAAAGGCAATATATAACTTGAGCTCAGCGTCATACACTGGGAAAAGTATTGTCAGACTCAACGTCGGTGAGTAGATGTAGCGATGCTAACTTTGTATAGATCGCTTGCTCTATGAGGAGGCGTGCCCTGCTACATTGACCTCCGAGCCCCGATCATGCAGCAGCCTGACGTCCCAGATGGTGTAGTTTTGTACGTGAATTTGTGGAGTGGGTAGGCAGAGAAATCTTTAACCCCAAATAAATGGTGCAAACCATGTTCTCTTGATTTTGACCACTTTTCTTCCCAAAGTTGGGGGAGGGGCTAGCACCCTATTCAAGTAAACAGGAAACTTTACCCCTGGTCACGAATTAAGTATATATATGTCAGTAAAAGCCTAGGCGGGTGTCACACTGTCCCAGAATCTTTCTCTTAGGTGAGGAAGATTGTGTCTTGGCTGGAATGAAGCTGCACTTACTACTACGCCCCAGATGCTCCTACTTATATTATTGTGGCTTGGCATTTCAGTCATAAATTTGTCATGATTTTCTCAAGAGAATCGTTCAATAGTTGTACAACATTTTAAGCATTGGTTTCTATCAGCCGTAATTGGGACTCACTTTACTGGGCCTTTACTACAGAATTGTTAATAACAAGAGACTTTGGCGGCGTTCTGTAAATAGTGTTACGTTTTCCGACTGTGATCCTATCAAGTTCGCCGCTCGTCCAGACGTCACTGCGCGAATAGAAAGCGGCACACATTTGCTCCGGCGTACTGTGAGGACGGCCGAGCCGGTTGTTATCAGGGCTGCCAGTGCAATTACAGCACATGTGTATGTGGATGTATAAAGAGTGTCCCGATGGCAAAGCGCCACCGTCCTCAGACCTGAAACGTCACCATGGCCCATTTCTGGTGTTGTCCCATTGTATAGGATCAGAGCACCCAGCTGGTCAAATCCGTCCTACAGTTACCGGGATCCGCCCGCACCGATCCCGGTGGCTTTGTCACGCACTAGACTGCAACGCTGTACAGGTGGCGGGCGCATCAAACGGTAGACCAGACCCACCTTTAAAGCACGAAACGTCGTTTGGTATCCTGTCTCAGCGTACCCACCATTCTTCACAATTGACCCCGGGGGTACAGGTCTCTGACGACGGTCTGAATTTCAAGAGGACCCTCCAATGTCATCCCATCGAATCGAACACTTAAGTACGTTTTAAACTCGTTGCGATTGACGATGAATCTGTACAGAGAAGGGAAGTTATCCATGCCTGGTCTGGTGGCTTTTATTCTGGCTTCGCCTGGCGCGATGCGTATTCATGGCTGGCGTTTGGCTGTATGTCAAGCGGCCTGATTCTTGCTTTTCTCTTGTTTGTGGGCTGTGATTGCGGCCAAATGGTTGGCAATCATCTCAGCCCTATTAAAGCACTCACTTGGGGATGGCACAATTCCTTGTGTGGTGATTGGTCCGTGGTTAGCTCAGTTCATATCTGAACGGCGGTGGCGTGTGGAGCATTTTCAATGACTTCGTCAGTGTGTAGGCGGGTGTTTCCGTTCTGAAATAAGGTGGCTTCACGTTACTGTCCACGCAACCACTTAGGGCTACCGTTAATTTCCTGAAGCGGTGGAATGTAGCTACATCCCCAGAACAATGAAACAAAAAAGTTGCGCTCGTGGGCGCTTTCTCCTTTGAGCGTGTCCGCCCCCCCCCCCCCCCCCCCCCCCTCCTCGACCAGCCTTTTATCCAGACGTTGGGAACCGGAAGAACGAGTACTACTCACGCGTTGCACAGGTCTTATAGGGCTGACTATTTACCTTGGAATGCAGGGTAACCTGTCGAAACGTAATATCCGGTGCCATCGCTTGGATGATTCATCGCGAGCATCGTGTCCAGCTCTGCCCGAGTGAGAGGCGTGCATTAAGTGGGGCCCGTCTAGCCCGTGTGACTCATGTTTTTGATGCCTGATCCCATTTCCACTCACGCTTTAGCATAACAAGCCGTCGACCTTGCTATCTTAGCGGCATCCGGCGCGTGGTCGGACTGCGAGAACGTTGTGATTCATCACCAATACGTGGTTTACTCCGAGATTCCGCCAAATCTGGGCGTCGATCTGCCCGACATGGGCGTTTGGCTTGTGTCGGACCAGATCCAAGACTTCGTCGGACCGGATCCAAACATCCGCCCAACCAGGCTAGAGCGTTTCTCGCGGTCAAATCCAGGGATGTTTCGGGGCCGATCGGAGCTCGCCTTAAGCGATATCGGGGCGTCTGTTAGACGATACCCGGACGCGTGTCTGGCCGGACACGAGCGGTCGCCGGACATCTGTCTGGTCAGGTCCGAGCGTCTGTTAAAGCGAACCCTAACGTCTGTCGAAGCGAACCCGAGCGCCTGTCAGTGCGAGCCCGAGCGTCAACGGTCGGTGGCGGCGCCGGCGGCGGCTGTCGCGTCCGTCTGCCGACCGCATCTGCCTGCCGAGCACCGGGCGCCGTGGGAACGCCAGCCGCCACGCCGGAAGCCGAGCTGAGCCAGGCGGGCCTGCCCTTCGCCTCACTGATCCGCGGCATTGGCGCGTGCTGCCCGATAGCCGATCTAGGACAGAGGTGGATCGGGTCCGCGGCAGGTTTCTGCGAAGCCGGGTGGCCGCCGATTCCGCTGGTTGGATATATTTACAGTTGAATGGCGGAAGTATGCTATACGCGTAGAGCAAGAGCTGTTTCACATTGTCATGTCCTTGTTCTGAGAATGAGGTGGGGACTGATCTTGTCCGCTGCATTTCGGAACGCGCTGAAATTCCGCTCATTCGTCGGTACGTGCTATCCATGTCAAATCTGATCCGATTCCATCGTTACGTGGCGTCATTTGCAAACAATTACAAATGCGGCTCCAGAGCATGTGCTCGTTACAAAGCGGCACAAAGGAAACGTATCTGTAGCCGTGCGCTGTGCGAGCTGCGACCCGCTCGTCTAGTTCACCGGACCCTGCGCGGCACGCGGTGACGTCACAAACCGGCTCCGAGCACACCCTCGGGTCGTGCCTTCCCGTCGAACCTTCCGATGTCGAGCGGGTTCCCCCAGCTGTGTTAACCTTCTCGGTACACTGAGGTCAGACTCCGCAGAGAAAGTTTTCGTAGTTTAATTTCGTGGGCACTCATCTCGCATTTTGTTCGATGCATTGATGCCCTGCTCGCAGGGCATTGACTTTTGTAGATCATTGTTTGTAGATGAACAATGGTATGAATGTATGCACGCTAGCATAAATTGCGATTATTCGTTTGCCTCTTGACGTAGACTGTATCACCGCAGGCAAACTTCGTTCCTGATGTCACGAGTGATGAACGGAAATAGTCATGGGCGCATCGCACGTCCACACGCACTGATGCGCCATCGGCGGCCATCTCACCAGCGGGGCGTAGCTCACCGGCGCCGCGTGTGCGCTGTTAACAGCACCGTGTCGGGGGGTTCGGTCCATCAGCGGAACCGGGTCAGGCACGACACGACACGGCATGGCTGGATACGGACGCCCCGGGCTGCCGGCGACGGCAACGGCCGGACATCCGGCTGGCAGTCGGGTCGTTTCGGCGCTGGCTGCGTCACTGGCAGCTGTGGGCCCGGAGCATGAGTCGGACAAGGCCTGGCGAGCTGGCCTGGGGCTGTCCTGGTTTGTTCATGCTTTGTGGGGCTAGCTTTAACGGGCGCTGAATGGGGCTTTCTGACGCTGTATGCATTTAGTAGAAAGAGCTTGTTCCGCTGTATTGATAGTTTTACTCACCTTGTTCTCAGTTCAGTGACCATAACTAGTCGACATCATATATTTTGAGCTCCGTCATGTCACACGGGTGTTGAGTCTGCTCAGTCCACTGTGCCGTCAACAAGTCTGGCTAATTGTCCTTGGTGACTGGCATATAGCTGTCCGCCGGTCCGCCGCCCTCTCTCCCTGGGGCGTCACGAGTCCTTGCCCATTTCTCCGAAGTCACCAAGGTTCATCATAGGTGCGCCTGTCCTCCGAAGTAGCTTCAGTCGAGACGTTTCATCGCTGGTTGGATCTCCCGCATGTCCATCATGTCTGGCCCGGTTTTTGTCATCCCTCATGAGTGCTGTGGATGTCATTCGGTCGTTTTTGTCGTCGTTCCTGCGATGGCGTGCAGTCCAGTTCTTAGCGGCCGGCGCTGTTGTCGGCCCGAACGCGGGCTAATCCGGTCGCGATCGGCGCCACCCCGCCCGCCTCGTCGCCCGCGTCGGCTCGGGGTGCCGCCGTCACCGGTGGGGCGCGGCCTGGCCCGGCCAGGCCCGGCCCGCTGTCGCCGGCCACCCGGAGGTCAGGCAAAGCTGGCGTTCCAGCCGCCGCCGGCGGCTGGCGGCCGCAGCTGCCGCCGTCACGCGAGTGCGGAGTTGGGTGTCGTCTCGCGTGGCTGGTGTGACGCCCGTCGCCTAGGGCGGGGCGACGGCAGGCGCGCGCGCGTTGTGGCTCTGGTTGTGGCTGTGGCTCGTTGTGAATCTGGGTTGGATCGACACGAATTCCTGGGTTGTAACCCAACACTTCACAGCTCCCGCTGTCTTTCGTACCCGGTGCCGCACGTAGAGCCAGCGCTGAGTGGAAACGTGCGGGATGTAGCCGGAACCCGCGGCCGGCGCTGTAGCGGTAGGAAGTGTCCGTCAGCTGGCAGGTAAGCGCTGAGCGGTGCGGACAAACGTCCGTTCCTCGGCGCGGACAAACGTCAAACCTGGGCTATCGGTCTGGATCACAATGGCGGCGGGGACCCGGCGCTTAACGGGACGAGCGCCGCCCCGGGAATGGAACACCGCACGAGCGGCACGCCGGCCAATGAGTCACTTATCGGCAAGGAAAACGGGTGCCCAGCCGCGGTCCGGCCACCTACCTACCCCGGCCCTCGTCCGGACGCGGTGTAGAGGAAAAAATCCGCTCTGGGGCTATCCCTGCAACAGTGCCGGCCCCCTTTTTTCTCCGATCACGTCCATTCCCACGGCCCATTTGGGTGAGCCGGCCCAGACTGCCACGCCTCGACGCGGCGCCGTGCCGCGCGGCCGCCGATCGCGGACGCCGGCGGACTGTTAACAAGGTCGTCGCCGCCACCGTCTGGCTCGGCGGCCGGGCCGGGCGCGCGCGCGCCCCGCCGCCCGACTCGGCCCTGTTGTGACCGTCGTCAGCCGGCGCGAGCCGGCCGCGATGCTGTTTTCCGCCGAGTCGCTATTGATCGGGCTCGGGGCGGCGATGAGCGCTGACATTTGCCGGCCGGTGGCCGCCCCTGCGCCGCGCCACTCGCTTCGCGCGGCCCATCTGCGTGGCAGGGACCTTGGGCCGCGCAGGCCACTGCTAACGGTCCGGCGCAGCCGGTGCGGAGAAGTTATCTGCGTACCAGGGTCGCCTGGGGTACGCGGAACCGAAGTTGTGACGAAGGCTGTCGACCGGATTCTGGAGCCGGGCGTTCTCGTTTTTTTTTTCTCTCCCCAGGTGGAGCTGCGTGAGCGACATTGGGCTCACATGAACGGGTGTTTGTACCTCCAACGTGGCCGTGCGCCTCTCGTGATGAGCCCTGTCCCTACGCGCCACAGAATTGCGGCAGTGAGCCGGGAAACATTGCGGCCACACCACCTGCGCTTATCCTCCTTGTTTTGGATCTCTGCAGCGGAGGATGACGTCTGCGGTTACGTTACTCAGCCACTTTCCTGATCCTCCCGGCGAGGTATTTGGCGCCGTGAGCTCCCACGGCGCGGTCACGACCAGGGCAGGCTGCGTGAGCTAAGGGCAACCGCCCCCGCACTCCAGCCGGCCGGAAACGCAGCGTCACGATCGCCCGCCCCGCCCCCGTCGACCTGTCCCGCGGTGCTGCGGCCGGCGGCGACTGAGTCAGCGGCGGCCGCGCCTCCGCCGGCCGAGCTGGCGCGGCTATTATGTGCCGCGCCGCCCGACGGGCCGACGGCGATGCCTCCGGCTGTTTAGGGCAGCCCGCCCCTGGTGGCGTAATGACGGCCGGAGGGCCATTAGCCGGGCGGCTGTATCGATAACACGTGGGCGCTGGTCGGTCTTTGACCTTGTCGCAGGCCTTGAACTGGTCGGGCCCAGCCGACCGTGAGGCGTGATGGCAAGTTGTGTTGTGTGGTACGCTGCACCGGGCCGTCGTGCGGTGTGGGATGGTCGTGGCGTGTCTGTCACGTGACCAACAACCTGGTGTCACGTTGTCCGTGTTGGCGTGTCGACGTGTCATCCGACCTAGCCTGACCTGATTTCTCATCAGCTCGACTTGACCCGCCCGTGCTTACAACCTACTTGCGATGTTTCTCAAGTGGCACATGTTCCATTTTGGCAAAATCCATGCGCATGCTGTGACCTGACCTGACCCATCACTTATTTGATCGAATCATTGACCGATGATTGGCGAATCAGTATAATCTGCCCTGACCTAACCTGACTCGCCTGTCTTCAGGTGCACCTGCTGCGCGACCAGCTGCGGGCCGAGACGACAGCGCGGCTGGAGGCCCAGTCGCGCACGCACCAGCTGCTGTCGCACAACCGCGCGCTGCTGTCGCACGTGCGCTCGCTGGTGGCGCAGCTGCAGCTGGACGACGCCGAGCTGGAGCTGGAGCTGAGCAGCGCCAGCAGCGCCACTAGTGCCTCGGCCAGCTGCGAGGACATCAAGCGCGCAGCCTCGTCCAATGACTCGTCCATCGACGCCGAGCTCTGCGCGATGGGCGACGCCATCGCGCAGCTGGCGCGCGGCTCGTGGGCCGACGAGGTGGACGAGGAGCCGGACGAGGAGCCGCACGAGGAGCCGCACGAGGAGCCGGACAAGCCTGACGGCTGAGCGGCGCGACTCGACGCGGCCCGACTCGGCGGCCTCGGCAGCGAGGGTCGCCTGCAGTCGGGCCGGCGTGGAGAGGACCCCGCGGCCCGGCCGACGGCTCGGCCCCGGCCGCCCGTTCCTGGATCTGTGTGGGCTGTTACCCAGTCTGTTACGAAGCCCGTGCCGTGATCTGACGTTCAGTGGTAGGAAGAGCCGTGGGCCGCTCAGGACATTATGAAGCGTTGTTTTGTTAGTGCGTGGCGCGCGGACGGCGGCGGTCAGCCGGCCGACGCGTGCCGAAATTGTCTCGCGTCGTGTTCACGAACTAAGCGTATTCCGCAACCGTGCGGTAGACGAGTCTCCGCTCGTAGACAGGCAGCTCCGCTGATAACACTGGTGCGCGACGGTAGAAAATACACGGCTCTCAATCGCAGTCGCAGTGGCTGCCGGTGCCGACGGAGAGTTCAGGCAAGCCAGACACGCTACCGCCGTTCGCTCGCGGCGAAAGGCGTGACAGGTACGGTGGTGGTGGCATCTTCCGCTGATGACGTCACACCTCCGGCTCTGTGATTGGCTATGGGCTCGGCCGACACATTTCATTGGCCGTAATGGGCGAGGACTGCTGGGGCCAAATATGACGGGATGGTTTGCAAGGTGCGGCCTCCGGGGGCGGGCGAAAACTACAGTAGCAGGCAGGGCTGGCAGTGCCAACCAGGGCCAGAGTTGCGTTCTGTAATTGGCCGGAGCAGTGACGGACCAGCCACCGCCCCCCCCCCCCCCCCCGTCTGACTACTTCGTTGAGCACTGACTCCCGGTCGTTGCATGGGGAGAGGCGCGTGGTAATAACGCTGACTGACTTCTCATCTTCTCAGCGGTTTCGCCGTTGTGGGTTGACAGCACGCCTCCCGCTTTCGCGAAGATGCAGCATTCCACCACGGAGCCAACCGCAAGCAAGGTTGTGCCTCGTCAAGGCAGGGGGCCTCTTGGGAGGGTATATGCGTCGTGCCCTCGAGACCGGGCCTCACCCATTACCGCGAGGGACAATCGTAAGCGCTGTTCGGTATGTTTAGGGCCGGACGAGAAACATGCTTCGCTTCAGAGGTGGTCGCATTCGACAATGACACGCCGTTAGCGTGTGGTGTATCGCGGTTCACATCATGTGACATACCGAGATATCGCGCCATCCAAGAACCACCAGGTACGGCCTGGTACCAAATCGACTAAGCGTTAGTGATAGACACGAACGCGACGATGAGAAAGTGGAGTCCGTTGTAAACAAGCATATCCATCGGCGCCGGCGTGTCATGCGCGAAGTCCGACAACTTCGTGGTGCCACACCGGTCATCAACATGCAGACATCCGACCCGAGCATCGACAATGCTCGGTACCAGCGCGGGTAAGCTGAGAACAAATACAACCACCAGGGTGCAGAAATGTGCCAGCGACGGCATCAGCAGCCGCGTCCACGTGTGCCCATGTCTGACGTGACGCCATGAGCATATGGCGCCGTACACACGCCACACGCGTGAACCGGTGATTCCCGACCACGCCGACGAGCGCCGCGTCACATGGCGTCGGGCACGCCCGCCTCCGAGGCCGTCTCGTCGCCACCGCTTCGAAGCACGTGCCGCCGACAGCGATCGACAGGTAATCGGCGTCGCCGGCGATCGATCGTTGGCGTCGACGCATCGGCGACGACGCGGCGGCCATCTGCCCGGCGGCGGCGGCAGCTGCGCTTGAGGCACCGGCCGACGGGGCGGCCGCGCCAGCCGTCGTCGGGCGACGCCGCCGGGCGCGAGAGCTCAGGTTACTTGGACGGAGCACGCCTGACCAGCGGGTGACACAGGGACGGCTGGTGACTCGGGTTGGCACGAGCGGCGGGATCAGGGTCGCTGGTCGCCAGCGGGGACGGCCAATTGAGAGACGCCCCTCCCCCCAATGAAATAAGACCTAGCCTGCAGAATAAGATACCGATCCGAGGGATGCGTGCCGACTGCGTGCTGTTGTGGTAAATCATGTGCGCGTTTTCTTGCGTGCGCCGCATGCAATAAAATGTAAAACGGTTTTACAGAATCAGCTGACCACTCAAAGGTTTATGCAGAATAGTTGTCAAGTAGTCGGCGTAGCTGCGCCAAACTTGGTATAGCGGCAGACAATTGAACAGCGTATCATTTGGTTTGGAAAATTTACATGTACCTTGTAAGATTACTGGCCTAAGGGCAGGTCTAAGTCAGGCCGTGGCTGTCGGTAAAGGCCATTTCTATGGAATTTTTCAATTTCATGTGACAAAGGGGTGATGGCCGAAGCCATGCATCTCTGAGATAAATTCTTAAGCAACGAAGCAATTGAATTTAAGATAACAGCGAAGCCCATTAACCTTGGGGCGGGTATGGAAGTCAGACCGAGGTAAAAACCAACCTGCTTTTTACTCGAAAGCTTGCTGTATGCGGTTAGCTTATTGTGTTCATTTTAAATATTGATGACAGGAACTACATCAGGCATCTTCCATGGGCTTCTTAAAGGCCAAAATAGGCCACTGACACAAAATGACCCAGCTCAACACTTTGCTTTTAGGAGCATACCGCCTAACATAATCTTTGCCGCCTATTCAAATGTAGAAATCGAAGCAGTCTTGTATGATTTTTATCACAATGACCTTCTAAAGACCAGAAAAGGCTACTTACCTTAAAGAACACCAGTGACCTTTTGCTTAGAACAGTATCTGGGTTCACGGCAGCTGCTTGAGGAGGTCTTGGAGACTTTGGACACCAATCTCGTGTTTGACATTGCTTGACCGTATTTAAGTTTTCATTTAGTTTTTGAGATCTTAGGGGCCAAATTGCCCCTCGCCACCTGAGCAGTGTTCAACCGGCTACCCGGGCGCGTGTCAGGCTTACAGTTAGCGATGCTAGTGGTAGTTGTAGATGTATTTGGTTGTTAAGGCACATACCCTTGGAGGAATATTTCTTTTCGCAGCAATTTTTTTTGTCCAAGGAAGTGTACTAGCTAATCAGCACAGTTTTTTCAAAAGGCCGTGGCGTTGGTCCTGTTCGCGAACGACTGCAATGAAGAAATAAGTGATGAAGCCATGCAGGAAAGGTGGTGTGAAAGACGTTGGATGGATGCTTAATGATTTTAAACGTCCAGGAGTAGCGCGAAGTTTTGTGAAAGGAGAAAGGGTCTGTGAAGTGAATAATGGCGAAACCTAACCCAAAAATACGATAGCGAGTAGGTTCCCTCGATCTGGCCGACTTCTTCTCAAGGTTGGGGACTGGAGCCCAATTTGGGGAGTGCTGGAGCCCTCTTTCAAATGAATAAAATCTTCACCAATGCCCACTCGCCCTTAAGGCGGCACTTGCAACGCATTTGAGCATGTGTGCCCTAAACTAACTCATGAACCCTAACATCGTAGGAGGGCGCTATCGAATATATTGCGCGCACCGACTGACCGAAGCTGACTGACGGCTGCACAAACCAGATCTGGCGACTCCACAAACCAAATCTTTAACGAAATCACTTTCGCAAACCAAATTTTCCAGTGGGCCACCGAGATTTGCGTAGAAGTTTGTGTGAACAAGAGAGGGCCACAGTTGGAGCCAGCACAACCTAAACTGATTCTGTTAAGTGCGCTGATACGACTGCTCGTGCATTATCGGGCTTTTCGCGGAGATTTGTAGCCACTTAACCAACATTCATGGCGGGCAATTCTAAAACTCCCTCAACCAAGGCACGCAAGTAATTGGAATAGTCTAACGTTAAGCGCTTCCACTGGACCATTTACCACTGTTCGTTAAGATTAATTGCGGTACTAAAAGGGTAGGCATGACATCAAAAGCTAAGTTGATGGAAAGGATTTTCTTCGTGGCCAAGGATTCCGAGAATTAAAACAACGCGTAAAATCCCGCTTTCTTTCAGTAACCAGCAAACCTGAAAACACGTTACCAGGACATGTCGTGTCCGTAAACATGTCTCGTAGGCGCGTATCGTACTTTGTTGCCTGCGTTTCAACACAAATCACTTCAAAAGCTGTTTCTGAGCTCACCGAGTCCCGACATGTGACGGGATATTCGAACATTCCACGTCCAAATCCAGTTCAGTTCTAATGCACATATCACGATTCATGTCTGCCATTGTGCAGTTGAACCGTGCCTGTCTGCCTGGCGTGCTATTATTTTCGATGTCCTGCATCCTCAGCCGTGGACCCGTGCGTTGCGGCCTGGCTGCAGCCAGTCTGCGCTGCTCCCCGTGAGCGGGTGGTGCGTCCCAACAGCGAAGGCAACCAGTGCGTGACGCGCAGAGCTCGGTGTTTACCGTCGGTGTAACGACGGCGACGTGGCGGCCGAGCGAGCCCGAAGCCCAGCAGCGCGGCACCCGGCGCAGCCCGTGTGCAAGGAATGAGTCCAATCTTGCAGCGCCAGCTCTCGCCGCGCCGCTGGCTGTGCGTCATGGAACTGGGCCAGGACGGTAGTTTTCTCCGGCGCACGGCGGCCGAAACCGCAGGCGAGATGATACGACGTATGGTCTTTTGCCGGGTGACGGCTGAGAGTGGCGGCTAGGAGTGACGGCTGGGAATGGTGGGTGGGGACGACGGCTGAGAGTGACGGCTGGTAGTGACGGCTGGGAGTGGCGGCTGGGAACGGTGACTGAGAGTAACGGCTGGGAGTGACGGCTTAGAGTGACCGCTGGGAGTGGTGACTGAGAGTGATGGCTGAGAGTGGCGGCTAGGAGTGACAGTTGGGGGTGGTGAGTGAAGGTGACAGCTGAGAGTGGCGGCTAAGAGTAACGGTTAGGAATAGCGGATGGGGGTGACAGCTGACAGTGACGGCAGAGAGTGGTGGCTGAGAGTATCTACAGGAAGTGACGGTTGAAAGTGGCGGCTGAGAGTGGCGTCTTTTACAGGCTAAGAGTGTCACTAGATACCACGACGTCACATGAAGGGCGGTACCTATCCATAACTCTCCAGCATTAAAAAATGGCAACACGTGAGCATGACCACCACTCTCAGCATGATCTAAAGTACACATCAATTTTAGCGTCGTGTGGCGTTAATATATCCATATGCGTACGGCACGTTATCTTGAGCCCTAGATAGTCTAGGACTTAACTTGATGAAGGTTTGGGTAGCCCTTCAGATGTGGTCCCTGTGGCCTCGAGGTCGGGACCTTTCTGGCGTGTGAGAATGGGAGAAATCCCCTGCACTCGGCCAACCCCCCAACCCCCTTCTCACACGGATATCACATCCCTATTACCACTCGCAGTGGTTGTTGCCGTTTTTGATTCTCATCATACTCCCATCATATATCGCAATGAATTCTTTCCATTTTTGTTCTTTAGGATCCCTCAAATCTCATCTTTTTGCCTTTTTTATCTGAATGCAACGTCTATTTGTTTTTCAGATGCCACACCTGGCAGACTCGGTGCCCCCTTCAGATCGCTGTGCCCGCCACAAGTCTCAGGAGTCCTGCGCTGTCAATTACAGCTGTTATATTGCAGTGTATGAACCCGAATCGCAAAAATAACGCAAAAATAACGAGAAGTGACTGTAATTTACTTATTGTTTCAGTGACTTTGCTTCCTACAGAACGGATAAACCATTTCATTCTGGACCCCGCCATGAAACAGTCGCTCACTGCGCGGTTCCTTGCTGATGTCAGCATGCACACTGAGGCCACGGTCACGGGGCAAGTCCTTTCAAGTTGAAACGTAAGGGAAGACGTGAAAGCAATTTTTGAACCTCTGTTTTTTTAATTCCCATAGGTTCAACGTTACATTTTTATAAATTTCCGGGGCACAGCCCTCGTTCAGGGGCACAGGAGACTTCCGGGGCACAGCCCTGGTTCAGGGGCACAATAAATTTCCGGGGCACAGCCCCTTACTCACTCTCTGGATTTGCTCCCCAGCGAGCTCGCCTCAAGCAATTATCCGACAACATCGCTCCACGGTGAGTGGGCTTGTGTAAGCCTCCAGCTGCTGGCTTCGCGTATTCGATCAGAAGGAGAGATCAAAATCATATATATATATATGGAGAGAGAGAGAGAGAGAGAGAGAGGAGAGGAGAGAGAGAGAGAAGAGAGAGAGAGAGAGAGAGAGAGAGAGAGAGAGAGAGAGAGAGAGAGAGAGAAGAGAGAAGAGAGAGAGAGAGAGAGGAGAGAGAGAGAGATAGCGAGAGAGAGAGAGAGAGAGAGAGAGAGAGAGAGAGAGAGAGAGAGAGCGAGAGAGATAAGAGAGAGAAGAGAGAAGAGAGAGAGAGAGAGAGAGAGAGAAGAGAGAGAGGATAGAGAGAGAGAGAGAGAGAGAGAGAGAGAGAGAGAGGAGAGAGAGAGAGAGAGAGAAGAGAGAGAGAGAGAGAGAGAGAGAGAGAGAGAGAGAGAGAGAGAGAGAGAGAGAGAGAAGAGAGAGAAAAAAGAGAGGAGAGATAGAGAGAGAGAGAGAGAGAGAGAGAGAGAGAGAGAGAGAAGAGAGAGGAGGAGAGAGAGGTGGAGAGAAGAGGAGAGAAGAAGAGAGAGAGAGAGAGAGACGGAATGCCAATTTCCAAAATATCCTGAGCTTGCTGGGCACGCTTGATTGCTGCTGTATGGCGAGGGCCTTAGACATTCTGACATCGCGTCCGTGTCGAATCACACATTGTATGATGCAGGTAATCTGATCCTTTCCACGTCATCGATCAGCAATATCCTGACGTTCAAACCTGTCAGTGAGGTACCAATATGTGCACGGCTGCAAGCTTTTTTCGCTTTGCAGCCAAATGAAGCTGACAAATCAAACCTCATAGCGTTTAATGGGACCAAACCGCTGTATGTTCGCGACAGGCAGCCTGCGTCGAACGGTGAGTATGGTCTTGCTCGGTATCGATGTGCCTACGTGTGGGAGGGTGCCAGCGACAGATGGCTGCAGTTTCCTGTCATCAAGTGCACGTCCATCGACTGACCTGGCAATGACAGACACGAATGGCACGATACCGGTGTTCAGCACTCATTAGTCACTACTCAGCTGGTGCCGGACGGTTGTGTCTCAGCCCACATTCGCAGCATATATATATATATATATATATATATATATATATATATATATATATATATATATACATAAACCCGGCGAACAAAACGTGCGGCCCGCACTCCATACATCGTAGCTTTCAAGGGATTCGTCGCGTCGTGCTGCCTCAACTTACTGGACAAGACATGTGCCGTCAGTTTTCGGTCTCATGGGTGGCACCTTCCCTTTAGATGGTTTTACTCCAATATTGTATACATGCACCAATTGTGGTGCACGACCCAATAAATGAGACACAATAACTTATCACGTAGTAACGTTACTTTAATGAGGAAAAAGGCGTCTTGTGCAAAAGCTCGGTGCTTTCTTCGACTAAAGCAGTCGCTTTATTGCACTGTCCAATACAACTGTTAAAAGTTTTGTGGATGCCGAAGGCGTAGTAAGAGTTCATTGTTCTAGAATGAGCGGGGCATTTTGATATACAAAGCAAACCTTTTTATCACAACAAAACCCTAACAATCGAAATATTAACACCATTGCGCATTGTCTACGGCTGTAAAACTTTTAACTGAGACATTGTCACCAAAAAACACCGCCAGTAGCATGTCTTATACAACGTTTGTTGGCAGTCACATTCTAGCTCGTACAACGATAACTAATCTTTGTAAAAACATGCGTCATAGAAATAAGAACTGGTTAATATCGCTCGCAAAAAAATAACTTTACGCGTCCACGCTCACTGATTCACAAGTGTTGGTGGAATCTGCCTGCTGAAAAATTATTTGTCTCAGAAAAGCCGACTAATTATTGGCCCTGATGCCTTAGGTCGAAGATCGACCGAAAGTTCATAAGAGAGGGAGTGCAGAGATGTTCCGAGGCTCGATCAAAATTGCTTGAGAGACACCTGGATGTATATGTAGACGCCTGCCTACTTTTATGCTACTTCTGACATATCGAGTATGGTGCAAGAGGAGGGAGTGCAGCTTGGCCCCTCCTCAAGCTTATATAGCACGAGTATCCGAGCACCAGGCCACCAACTTTGTCAAAATTGAGTAGCTCTGTGAGCTTTTCTACCAAAAATGACGTTTAGTACCCGACCCGCCCCCCCCTCTCAGGTACTGCAGGAGTCGCCGCCTCCCATATATAGGCACAGTCTCAGTAGCATGGACATAACTGTCACTGTGGTTTTTGGGATCCTAACCCTAGTGCCCTTTGGGCAGATCGACTTTTTGGGACCATGTCTGAATACATGGCAACAAGACAGGAGTGGTTCCGATGACCTCTAAGGCTTGATAGGTAGGTACTACACCACTTGAAACGAACGAACGCGAAAGCTTATAGCCCCACTGTCCCCCTGTCCCAGGTTTGCTTGAACAGTGTTGACTTTTTGTGGGGGCAGGGCTCTTAAATCATGAGTCTTATAAACACCGATCTCGTGTTAGTCAGGAGTGCAGTACATACTGAGAAGCCTTTACTGAGAGGCCCCTGGCCCCCATCACAACAGGGGGGGGGGGGGGGGGGCGGAGCTTTTGAATCCATGATTCGTTTAGAAATAGGTCGGGTGTTGGTAAGGAGTATTGTAGCCATTGAAAAACTTTCGCGCACGAAATTTCCATTTTTTTGCTTACATCTGCTTCAATTCGTGAGATGGACGCATGCTGGAATCGATCCAGTTGTAAATGTGCTCGGTCATCAATATCTGTGTTTTAACTTGGAAACATTTAATTTCCATCTGAATGATTTCCAATTCTTTTTATAATTTTTATTAAACGCAGCACAGGGTAGTTCTCTTTGCATTTTGATAACTGTCTCGCACTTCACAGAGTTCGTAAAATTTCTGCTCGCCGGTGACCAATTACAACTATGTTTAATTTATACAAAACCCAGCGTGTCAAAGCACAAACAAAATTCAAGAACAGATGCAGCCTGTGGTTTTCCAACTCTAAACTGAAAGTCACAAACACAAAACAGATTTGTGACACACATGACGATGCTAGGAGAAAGGCTACAGATGGCACTTGCTTCCTGTTAGGTCCATGCTAAGGCGAAACGTTCCATAGTTTGAATAGCGTGAAGAAAGCAAAATATCTGACAAAAAAGAGATACCTTATGCACCACGGGGTATGCTGCAGCTTATTAAGCATTTCACAGAGCAATTTTTGTGGAGGCAATGGAGGCTACAGAAACGAAGTCAGGTCAAGTCAGGAACGAAGTCTAGTCTACAGTCAAATCGCTTAGGCCTGGGTATGGACCATTATGCCAACACTAAAATGACTCTCACGCTTCTCAGTTGCTACAATTTGAGAAGCATGTGAGTCATTTTAGTGTTGACATAATCTGCGTGTCCTATATTCCTCATGAATCTTAACTGGAAGCTGTGTTGCCTCGCCCCAGCGTTTGTGGAACGAAAATCACCCCTCTCTCTCTCTCAAACAAGATGTCGACGTACATGCCTAATGACATAACTGGTTAACTTTTCTTTACTCAGTTACTCCAAAATTTAAGAAGTCTGTGCCGAATGTGTGCCCTAAACCATGTTAAGCCTGAAGATCTCCACCAGCTTTGATTTCTGAGCTCCCATAGAAATGCAAAGCAGCATTACATAAGGAAGTATGGGCTTCAGTACCACCATTTATTTGCTCACGACGCTGCTTTAGACACGTTTTCAACTGTTAATGTGATACACCTGAATATTCAAACATGTTTAGTGAGCATAAGGCGTGGGTACACTTCACGCCACATTACGATATCAAAACCAAAACAGACGTACCAGACCAACAGAGGGCATAAATGGCATAATAGCCGATCTGTCTTGTCTCAAAAAGTCATCAGCCCCAGACGGACGGTCTTGGTAATAATACGCCACTTTTGGACCAGTATAATCGCTACTTAATCATGACCCAATGTGACAGCTATTTCCATTAGTACAGCCATCTTTCATTTTGAGTGGAAGTGCTAACAGCCAACGTTTCCTGAGGTCAACACACCGACAATCTATTGTGCATTGGTATACGACGCCTAGTATTGATGATCTTTTGAATTTTTACCGAAAATATTCTGACCTGCGAAGCTCCTCCGAAAAGCCTGCGAATGGCGTACGTTGTATGAAATATAAAAAAACGACGCATGTCAGCATTCCAGGGAGCTTTTACCAACGAAATTTAACAGTTTTAACCAGTAGTATTTGATGCATGCTAAGCCGAATTCCTACCGGCTCAGTGCACGACCTGATTTCAGCTTTCAATAAATCTCAGTGAAGGTTCGCAGAGCCCATTTTCCACGATACGGCGTGACACACGCATAGCAGGACCGGTTATGTGCGGCGAGGAGCCGTTATGTGACGGTGTGAGCAGACGTTGGCGTAATCGTGCAAACTGCAGCCGCATGACGAAATCCTGAGCTTTTAGACTGAACATTGACGCCACGTCTTAGGTGCACCGTGCGTGTTGCATTGCATACAGGCATTTGGTTTCACACATGCCCGCGAGCGCTCCCAAACGAACCCCTGCTAGATTTTCCACAGGCTGTTACCACTCTCTCTCTCTCTCTCTCTCTCTCTCCTCTCTCCTCCTCTCTCTCTCTCTTCTCTCTCTCTCTCTCTCTCTCTCTCTTCTCTCTCTCTCGTCTCTTCCCTCTCTCTCTCTCTCCCTCCCTCTCTCTCCTTCTCTCTTCATCTCTCTCTCTCTCTCTATCTCTCTCTTCTCTCTCTCTCTCCATCTTCTCTCTCTCCTCTTCTCTACTCTCTACTCTCTCTCCTCTCTCCTTCTTCCTTTTTCCCTTCGTGCTCTTCAACGGCATTGCATTGGTATCCTGGTCAGCCGTTTTGGCTCATTTTCTTGTTTATCTTGTGATAACATCAATCAGGGACGAGAACGTAAACGCATCAACTCCATCACTGGTGCCCGCTACATCTCGAGCTTTCGAGCTACGTAACGCAGCTTTTCATGCTGTATTGTTCCTCCGACTTTGCACAGCGGTGATCACAGTCTTCCCAGAATCCCGCCGGGAAGGCCGCCACTTCGACGAGAGCCGTGCCTGCCACGGGTTGCCGCCAATAACGAAGCCGGGGAGACACGTCCGCCAATCGCAAACACGCGCTGACGCTGACCCAATATCGGCTGGCGAGACGGCTACGGGCCGGCCCTGGAACGGCTCGCTCGAGGAACGCGGCGGTCCAGTCTCGCCCAGATCAGTGACGCACCTGATCAGACTGGAAGTCAATAAAACACGAGCACCGGTGGATGCGATCGTCTCGGTCGAGTACGGGCGCGGCCGGCGCTCAGCACTGCCAGTGTCGGTCGAGTACGGGCAGGGCCGGCGGCCAGCACTGCCAGTGTCGGTCGAGTACGGGCAGGGCCGGCGGCCAGCACTGCCAGTGTCGGTTGAGTACGGGCAGGGCCGGCGGCCAGCACTGCCAGCGTCGGTCGAGTACGGGCAGGGCCGGCGGCCAGCACTGTCAGTGTCGGTCGAGTACGGGCAGGGCCGGCGGCCAGCACTGCCAGTGTCGGTCGAGTATGGGCAGGGCCGGCGGCCAGCACTGCCAGTGTCGGTCGAGTACGGGCAGGGCCGGCGGCCAGCACTGTCAGTGTCGGTCGAGTACGGGCAGGGCCGACGGCCAGCACTGCCAGTGTCGGTCGAGTACGGGCAGGGCCGGCGGCCAGCACTGTCAGTGTCGGTCGAGTACGAGCAGGGCCGGCGGCCAGTACTGCCAGTGTCGGTCGAGTACGGGCAGGGCCGGCGGCCAGCACTGCCAGTGTCGGTCGAGTACGGGCGCGGCCGGCGCTCAGTACTGCCCGCGTCGGTCGAGTGCAGGCAGGGCCGGCGGCCAGTACTGCCAGTGTCGGTCGAGTACGGGCGCGGCCGGCACTCAGTACTGCCCGCGTCGGTCGAGTACGGGCGCGGCCGGCACTCAGTACCGCCCGCGTCGGTCGAGTACGGGCGCGGCCGGCACTCAGTACCGCCCGCGTCGGTCGAGTACGGGCGCGGCCGGCACTCAGTACCGCCCGCGTCGGTCGAGTACGGGCGCGGCCGGCGCTCAGTACCGCCCGCGTCGGTCAAGTGCAGGCAGGGCCGGTGGCCAGTACTGCCAGTGTCGGTCGAGAACGGGCGCGGCTGGCACTCAGTACCGCCCGCGTCGGTCGAGTACGGGCGCGGCCGGCACTCAGTACCGCCCGAGTCCATCGAGTACGGGCGCGACCGGCGCTCAGTACTGCCCGCGTCGGTCGAGTGCAGGCAGGGCCGGTGGCCAGTACTGCCAGTGTCGGTCGAGTGCCGGCCGCCGGTAAGTTAGACACCGGAATACTCTACCTCTGCAGTTGTCACAGCGACGCTCCACCACAGCGAGTCGCCACCGCATAGATGCGGCCATCAGCTGATGTTAGAGGAGCTGCTATCGCCCCTGTCGTCCCCCGGTCCCAGCCCAGGTAGATCATTCTAGCCCGGGGGAAGAGGGAGGGGGCGAAACGTTGACCATGTTGTGTTGTAGCGCGCAGATCGTGGGCACTGGACGGCGCTGCCTTGACACCAATGACGACGCCAATCCGCTTGCGGTGTGGGATGTGCCGAGGCGACCAAACCGGCCGTATTTTTTACAGTCATTACATAGTCGTGAGTGGATTATCGTAAGTTAATCCCCCCCCCCCCAATTTCCACAAACCCCACCAATATGACCCAACCTGGGGGGCTTGCGACCGGCGCAAGATGAGGGATTTGATGTAGGATTACAATCACTTCCCCTGGCAAACGATGTGAGCAGGAAGGACCTTGGGGCGAGGATATCCGCTTTGTCTGAGTTATCCAAATCCATGGTATTTAATGGCTTTGCAATAGCCGGCATGAGTTCTTACATGTCCGGATGGCACGCTCTCCGGAAATCGTAGTCGATGCAAAATCCTAATTCGTTAGGCACATTTGCAAGGCACGTTATGCATATAGGTAAGACAGTACTAATAGCCTTGTTCCTTGAAGAATAACCAGGAGAATGGAAAGATGGATGCATCGTCATAATGCATCTGTCTCTCTATTCTCCTTGTTATTCTACGAGGAGTACAGTTATTGGCACTATCTTATCTAATTGATGCTAAGGAGGCAATGTCCTCGCCGAGTAATGAAAGCCAATGATGGCCGGATGTGTTGCGTCTTGAATGCCACTTAGATCTTCCGAGATAATTAAGATATAGATGTTTCCTATGTATTAATTGAATTATCAGGCACATTACCAAACAATTTGCATTTTGCTAAATGAACCCATCTAATTTAGGCATGCCAAGCTGATTTAGGTGTGCGCTGCGTTAGCCCCCACGATGGACAGATTCAGATTCAGGCGGTTCAGAAATTAAGATTTAGGTGACGTCAATCAAACGGCATTCGTCCCCTAAATCTTGGGCTAACGCTTTTCGGGTTCTTGGGCGGGTGTGATAGCCTCTGCCCTCCTCCGCGGCTAATCGTAAATATCATAGCCGCATGGCGATGGCGGTGATCACCACGGTGCACCATCTTTATACCACCCTGGAGATCATATAATTAAGGTTTCAATGCAATGACAAATACAAAATCGTGCATAAAAACTAAAAACGCTTGAACCATTTGGGGGTATGAAGACATCACGATTGTTTGAGTATTGCATTGTTATATTAAATTTATATATATATATATATATATATATATATATCTATAAATGCATATATATATATATATATATATATATATATATTAACTTTCATGACTGGTGAAATTTATTTTAAGCGAACGGACAGCACTTCGCTTAAGCCGTGTTCATGCACGAATTTTGTAACTGTTGCAGCGTGTCCATATCCACTGCCGTAATATTTCCAAATGTTCCCCCCGATGCGCTGATTCGCCGTTTGGTTTGGGTACCCGCCGGTTTGTCGGGTCCGTGACGGCATGCAGCGTGGTGTGGACTCTTGCGCGTCCCGGCGCTCGTGTGTTCAACTGATGGACGCAGCCGAGCGAGACCAGTTCATGGGCGTCACCCATTCACTTCCTGCGCTGTCGGAGCGTCGATCCCGCGGCTTTTGCTACCTCGCAGCACGGCTCACAGTGAGTGCCAGGTGGAGATTCGTGGGGCCGGCCCGAGCTCAGAGCAAGGGGAGACGGGGTCAGCAGGAGCCAGCGCCGTGCGTGGGTGGCATGCTGCACTTTGAGCTAGCCTTCGGGAAGCCCAGGTTAGGCCGGGGCCAGGAAGTGATAGGCACGAGGAGGGCAGGATGTTGACCGACTGACGTCAAGCTTTCCCATGATGGCATCAAGCAGAACTTCGCATGGAGCGTGACTGAGCGGAAGGACCGGTCCAAGAGAGCCTGCCAGTAATGAGACGGCAAGAATTTCCACTGGAAATGGAACCGGCGTGTATCATAACATAAATCGACTGAATTTCAGCTGCCTTTCAAGAACGCAATGCTCACATTTATGTCGAACTTGCATGATAATAACTATTATAGATACAACCATGCAACCATGCAGCACTGTATTGTATATGCAGACACACCATGCAGTATTGTTGGCAGGAGTGAGAGAAGTGTCTCTTTTCTGTCAACGACGACATTTGAGACCGTCTAAATTGCCACCTGGAGCCGAATCTCTCAGAAACCGTTGCGGTATAACTCTAAATGCAACAAACCACAAAACAAAGACAAATTTAATGCAACACGGCATAACCATCACACAATTTTTATTTTGGGAGTTCATTTCCAGTCAAGTATCATTTGCTAGCTGTCAAACACTGAATGATAGTTGGGAATTAGGTAATAAAATTATCAGGTAAAGGCATACCGTATCAAGGCCTAACATAACCAGCTGGGAGGCGTATAGTTTCCTATTCATATAGGGGGAGTGATTGTGCCTCTTAGCCATGGATGTAGTTTCCAATTTTTATGAACTATTCTTCATAAATCACCATTATAGGGCTTAGCCCCCAAACTAATTTTGATAAGTTACACTCCTGATCTCAGCTGTGAACAGAAAGTGCGTGAAATCTGTGGGTAAAAATGTTTTGAGTGTATTTTGGAGGCAGACTCAGTCATTTTTCTTGCCTCGCACTCTCCATACTTCAATCCTACATATTTTGCAAAACTGCATCCCCGTAGCCCTATATTTATCGACAAAATGACTCTACAAGCACCTGAAAACAATATCACCTTTGGTTTTGTGACACCACCACACAATCAGTTGAGCGCACATGCCACCTTTACTATCTTCGAATAATCATTACCGGTACAGAGCTCACACCTAGTAACATGTTCGCAATCGTTTAGAGCAAAACCCACGCAATATTGGCATCAACAGAAGCAAACAGCATTTTTGAACACCTCTCCCATCTCTATTCAGTTTTATATGCAATAGACTATAGACTGAAAATAAAAAGCGTTTTATTTAACGCCTGTCCGACGATCAGTGCGGTAAGCCAGAAGTGCAACGGGCGATGTGAGAGGCCTACAACAGTGATGCTCATCCTCTTGCCACAAAGCCGCCGTTACTCGCAGCGGCAGAAAGCCCCCGATAAATCTTTGGCATGTGTCGCTCCGACGTCCTCCGTTTCCTTCTAGAGCTACAGCTCAGGTAACCACAAACAATCATCCTAGATCGGCAGGGCTTTTTAACGCTGTTGCATTAAAAAGCTGACGATTAGCTACGTTCTTCTGGCCAGTCAGCCTCTCACGACATGAACACAACTAACAGCAGCCCACAGTCTCTCACAGAATCCGACGCACCATCGCGCGGCGAGCGTTCGAGCCCATCTGTCTCAAATGGCACAACGCTTTAAAACGCTGTGCAGCAAGCTGATCACGCTCGTCGCAAGATGCTGGGCCCAGCTATGATCCATACGGTTAGTAATGAGCCTAATTATTTGGTATTTATGCTGTTTAGTACGTGAAGTGAATCTTGGCTGGAAAATCAGTGAAAAACGCTGATCTAAGGGGCATTGGAAAAACACTGTGTCACCGTTGATCTGTGACGTCAGCATCGATAAAGCATAGTTTGTGGTACATTTCTGGCACCTGCTAAAAACTATCCTGATTAAAGGTACTATGTTTGGTAGCAACTTATGGCTCAGTTTGCTCATACGGCGAAACGGCAACATTTCGACATGTGTTCTACACATGCTCACGCTGCAAGTGTTAACACGCGCCCGGGTGGCTCGTTGGACACCCTTCGCTCGGGTAAGGGGGGGGGTCAATTTGACCCCAGCCGAGATCTCGGAAACTAAGAGAGTTAAAGGCACCAAATTCACATGATGTGTTGACCTGTACGTGAACTCACTTAGGTAAGGGTTTGAGGTTCCTTGGGCGTGACCTTCGGGTCAGATAAGGTCATACAAGGTTAGCTTCCAAATTGGTCTCCAGAACCTAGGGGCCCCCTAGAACCTAGGCAACTGTTCTAAGCAAAATGTCACATGCTCATCTAAGGTCAGTAGCCTTGTTTGACCTTTCAAAGGTCATGATTAACAAAGTGATATAAGACTGCTTTGAGTTTTGCATTTGGATAAGCGGCAAATATTACGCTAGGCAGTATGTTCCCACAAACGAACTGTTGACCTGGGTCATTTTAGGTCATTGACCTATTCTGACCATCAGAAGTTCATGGAACTTATGTAACGCAGTTCCTGCGATCAATACATTCGAAACGAGCACCAGGAACCAGTCCATACAGCAAGCCCGAAAGTAATAAAGCGGGTTGGTTTTGACCTTGGTCTTACCTTTATACCTCGCCCTAGGTCAATGCTATTTGTTTATTCAATTGTTGTGTTGCCTAAGAAAGCATCTCAGAGGTGTACAGCTTCGTGTAACACTCCGTTGCTTGATCGGATTGAGCGATTCCCTAAAACGTGCCTTCTCTGGAATAATGGCCTGACTTTGACCTGCCATAGGTCAGCGACCTTACAAGGCACATATAAATTTTTGATGCCAGACGATCCGCTATTCAATTGTCTACAGCTATGCAAAGTTTTCCGCCGTTCGGAAAAAAATCCGCGAAAACCTTTGGCGGGATGGGGGTCAATTTGACCCCCCCTCATCCGAGAGCGTGTTAACGAGCACAGGCCAATTCTAAGTTTTGAGCTTTCTGTTAGCTTGGATAGGAAGCTGTAAGATGGTCTGATCTGTTAGAATTTGTATGCATTTACGCGATTTTGTCAGCAATTGGTTCGCAAAAGTCAGTTTTGT